GATTAAAATAAGACTAAACACTAAATAATTTAGACTATGTATAGTACATGCTCGATATGTGCACCATTCTCGGGACCGAACTGGTGTAGATATCGTACAGTTCCTACATTTCGAGCGAAGGAGACTGAACGTAAACAAACAGTGACCTACCAGAAGGACACTCCTAATGCAAGAATAAAACTTTTTTATTTTTTATTTTTTTTTTTGTGAAATTTTTTTCATCATATTTGTAACATTTTTCTCATTAAAATGAGACCAAACACGACGTACTTCGAGCCATATTTACTTGTAATTTCAAATGTTACGCGTACATCGATGACTTTACTCTAATAAGATATTGTAAGTAAATATAACTCAAATTACGTCGTGTTTGGTCTCATTTTAATGAGAAAAATGTTACAAATATGATGAAAAAAATTTCACAAAAAAAAAAATAAAAAATAAAAAAGTTTTATTCTTGCATTAGGAGTGTCCTTCTGGTAGGTCACTGTTTGTTTACGTTCAGTCTCCTTCGCTCGAAATGTAGGAACTGTACGATATCTACACCAGTTCGGTCCCGAGAATGGTGCACATATCGAGCATGTACTATACATAGTCTAAATTATTTAGTGTTTAGTCTTATTTTAATCAGAAAAATATGACGAATCTATTAGTAAAAGTTGGATAACGAAAATATGGAAAATAAAGAACTTTTACTCTTGCATTAGTATTATCCCTCACTATGTTTCCGTTTGTTTACATTCGGTATCCTTCGCTCGCTGTCCTTTTCTACGTTCGGCAAAACATCAATCAATGTAGGAACTGTACGATATTTACACCAGTTCAGACCCGAGAATCGTGCACATATCGAATATTTACTGTACAATGTTGTTGCAAATGTGTTCTTTGATCTATAGCGTATTTGTTGAATGTATTTCTGACTTTTTTAATTTCTTAGGTCCCGGTGAATATGGTACAATTTTATTCATATCAAATCGCAAGATAATATTTTATTTATATCAAATCGCAAGGGAAAATACATAAAGGATATGTTTTAGACAAAAACTATGTGCTGAACTCGCGCACGTTTATTCGAAAGAAATTAATCTTTTGAATAATATTTTAATATGAGTCCGAACGGTTGACTTGAGTCGCTAGTTTTTACTAAGTCCGAAATGAATGACGTGAATGACACTACTGATTGTTCTTTTTAGTCCGACTCGGATGACTAATGTTGGAATTCTTATTCTGACGAAACGTTCCGTCGTTACTTCCTCGAAACGTCGGAAGTGCAAGGAGGCATGCTGATTGGTTCTCATTAGAAACGTTGATTTTCCAATCAACATGCCCCTTGACTTGGGCCCACCCTCTCTTGCGCCCTGAGCGCGCCTTTTTTGGAAGAGGGTGGGAAAAAATACCGATGAGTACGGGAGGAT